GTTTTTTTTTTTTTTTTGAGAGGGAGTCTCAACTCTGGTCACCCAGGCTGGAGTGCAGTGCATGATCATGGCTCACTGCAACCTCCACCTCCTGGGTTCAAGCAATTCTCTTGCCTCAGCCTACCTGAGTAGCTGGGATTACAGGCGCCTGCACCATGCCCGGCTTATGTTTTTGTATTTTAGTAGAGATAGGGGTTTCACCATGTTGGTCAGACTGATCTCGAACTCCTGACCTCAAATGATCCGGACCACCTTGGCCTCCCAAAGGTCCTGGGATTGCAGGTATGAGCCACCACACCCGCCCATTTCTTTTAGATCTACATGCGCTAAGTTGTGACAGAGTGAACTAAAGGGATGGGGAAAAGACAGCGCCTAGGATATCAATAGCTGTGACAAGACTGGCATACCCTGACCAATGTAAACCCAGCATCATCTGAGTAGCCTGGTGACCATTCCATACTTGTCATTAAATATTGAATAAGCGAACCCTTGGCATGCTCAACAAAATAGAGTATGTGTCTACAATCACTATTCCTTCCACTCTGCAGGTGACCAGTCTTGATGGCCTACAGAATCTCTCAGTTTAAAATCTTAATTCAATTAACTATCCATGCAGAAAAAAAGAAAATGATGTGCCATCCGATATTCTCCCTTCTCGAGGTGTTTTCTGTAACCACTTCAGACACACACAGTCTCACAGCGAGCTGTGGTGCACTTTCTGAAGCTCTTCCTACAGAAGGCCAATGCACCGAATCTGCCAGAGATAAAATAACCCTATTGTCATTGAGACATTGCCTTTTACACTCTTCTGCTTTTTGAAATAACTTAGACAAATCATTTCACACAATACCAGCGTGAACAAGTATAAACCCATTCACATTAACCAGGCATCCTTAGGGAAGATTCTAATGTCCTGAATGGACAATTTAATTACATATATGTTGAGAATGCGTATTTTTCTAGTAAGCACCAGTACCTTCCCAAATGGAAACCTATTGTTTCATAGAAAACATTGACAATTATATTTTCATGTTATTCTATCTCTGTTTCTAATGCATTTTTCTCGTATTCATCACAGGGAGATAGAGTTATTCTTCTTAAAAGAGTTGATCAAAACTGGTATGAAGGCAAAATCCCAGGAACCAACAGACAAGGCATCTTCCCTGTTTCCTATGTGGAGGTCGTCAAGAAGAACACAAAAGGTGCTGAGGATTACCCCGACCCTCCAATACCCCACAGCTATTCTAGTGATAGGATTCACAGCTTGAGCTCAAATAAGGTAAGAACATACTCTATCACGTTCATGTAATATTGGGAGCTCCGAGTAAGATAATCGGTATGTGATTTTAGGCTATTTGATTAGAATATCACATCTATTGCAGAGAAAGAGATTTACATACTATGTCTCTACATGTGTGAGTGCCGCGTCTGTAAATATAATTCAGTTTTTCTCAAATAGGTACTGGCATAAAGATTTAATGATTAATTTTGCTCATTTCATTTTCAAGTTAAAATATCAAAAGAGAAAGAGAAAACAATAATATCATAAAGTCTTCTATGATATATATCCGTATTCCTGTGTACATAAATGTTTTCTGAAATAATTTTTTTCTAAAGTTTCATTTTTAGATATGTAAGTTGTATGTATATAATATGATCTTTATGTATAAATACAATTATATACACACATATATACAATTATGATTTATAATTTGAAATATAAATATATACAACACAAAATACTATGTATATCTCAAAATGGCATATCACGAGAACACCTGGTTATTAGGTTGACAAATCTGTACAAGCTTTTTATATGGAAAGTGAGCTAGAGCAAAAATTTTTAATTAGAATCTATAAGTCAATTTGTTTATTAGTTTAAATGAAAATGTTGTAGGTTACTGTAAGTCCTCAGGTTTGTTTTATCAGTTTTAGGACAGTTACATGCCAGGTCTACTGTTTCACTTGAGCGGGCTAAAGATGATTATCTTTCTCAATATGCAATTTAAAAGAGACTTCGCTTCCTTAACTGGTGAATGTAAAAAGGCTATTTCACTCACAATGTGAAATTTTTCCTATTTTTCTGCTGAATTATATTCTTTTTATGTATGACATTTGGGATTTTTTTTTCTCGTTAACCTCTAAGAATAAAACTTTAAATTGCCAATTACTTCCAAAATGTTTTAAGTACTTCCCAACATTCAAAAAATGTATTAAGTTGCATAATTTATTAATTATTTTAATTGAGATCAAGGCTGGGATGTGAAAAACCAAACCATCTAGAACTGGTAAAATAAAATCAGCTTCTCAGACGTTAGTAAAGTGTGAAGTCACTTCATGCTCCAGTGAAAAGACTATTTCAAGATTGCATCCCAGTGACCTAAACTACTCCTTGAAAATGAGCCTGAGAAGGATTTTATGTGAGGAAATGATCTAAGAATCTGCTATCTCAAGAGAGTCATTTTCCTTTAGAAGGGCTAAGTCTGGGCATTGTATTTATTGTGATCCTCTTTGAAAACTGAGTTTCAGTTGCAAATAATTACCCTCAACCCTGTATTCATGGATATATGGAACAGTTTGGTACTATCCAATTTTGTTTGCTTGATTATAAAGTTTTCCAGAATCTTCTTAAGTATATTCACTTCATTACCAGAGCTTAGCATTTATAGATCAGCATACTTTCTTCAGTATTTTCTACTGATAACGAGAAAAGATGAGAATCTTCATGCATATATTTGTCGTTATCCACCGTTCAGTCATCTTTAAAGAACTATCACAGAAATTTCAAAGCAACTGAACCTTCAAATAAAATGTTGTAAGGAAGAAAATCATGTATCTGCATAAGCTCGTTAAACATCTAACAAATTCTTCCATATGTCCTAATTAGCAATGGCAATATAATATTTTTGATCCCAATGTTTTCATCTTTGATGTGAATATGATTTAACTGTAGTTGAATGTATTTTCAAGTTTTTAAAATAATACCAAATTTTAAACATAAGGCATGTACAAATTTCACTAATAACTAGTTTTTTATGGCTGACTGCTGGGAAAAAAATATGTTGAGAAGCTTACATCCATAATTTGAAAGAAATACTTAATGGTTTTATCTCAACTAGTAATCCATGCTGTGATGTCACAGGCTTAATGAAGAAAACTTCCCAGCAGTGACAATCATTTTTAGAAAGATAAATATAATGTATTTCTAAATGATGACATCCAAAACATACTAAATGCTACAGAACCTATTTTCTAACTGATATTTACAAACAAAGAACTCATTAATAATTTATGAACCACTCTGGTGACACATTTAAATCACATTTCTTGACGTACTGTCTTTGTCTTAGGGGAGACTAAAATGTAAGTTGATTTCCTTTCTGATATTTCTGCTTTTAGTGCATTAGAATCCAATTCTAATGCTTTTGGAAAACAAAATAGTTGTGTGGTTTTTGTATTATAGGTATAGTTTTGTGATATAGTTATACCAGGATGCTTAATTTGGCTTTTGGTATGAGCGAGTCTGTTGTAAAGCTAAGCAGTTTAACCTGCTAACATGTATTTTGGTGACTGTGGTGGTGATGAAACTAGAGTATTCGCAGCATCAGATAGCAGTGGTGATGGTGGCAGTAACGACAAGGGAATTTAAGATCCTTCCTTCTCATCCACATAATATTCCTGGCATCATAGAAAGTGAAAGTGGAAACTTGACGATCTGAAATTATTATATATTTCACAGACTTTACAAACCTAACTACTGAAAACTTTCGTGTTATGTAACAAAGGGTATAAACTAGAACTCTAGCCAGTAAAGGAACTTCTGTAGACTGTTGAATAAGACTTGAGTTGTTTATATCTCATTGAAAATTCAACATCTACAGGACTTAAGAGGAGTGGCTCTCTACCCAGGCATAAACCACACGTGCAGTCTGTGAGTCAGCAGCTCAGAGCCTGGGTCCTGAATCCTGTTTTAAGATGCTCACATGAGTTTTGTGATCTTTATGTCATCCCATGATAAGATGACTTTAAAAAAAAAAAAAAGCTAAATAAATCTAACTAATACCTAGTTCTTATTATAGGACACAGGAGTCGAAAGTTAAGTGGGAAATGCATCACCCACTTACACACACTAAGGCCCCAGGAGCAAAAGGGCTGGCTCCCTATGTAAAGTGTTATCCTAAACTATCAGCTGGAAAATGCATCTCCAGAATCCTTTTGGAGATTTTTTTCTTTCCAAATCAAAGGCATCTACCTGGAGAGACCTAAAGTGAAAGCCTTCTCAAGGGCTTTATGCACATAGCAGGTTCAGCAGGCACAGCAGGTGCAGCAGGTACAGCAGGTAGCATTTTCTGTAGTCCAGCAAGAGCAGATAAATGTATTCCGATGTTAGTCAATGGCACCTCTAGAACTACACTTTTTAATTTCTGATTTTTATGAGTACATATGGGGTGTATATATTTATTAGAACTACTTTTAATCACTTTGCATAAAATTTCAAATTTATTGTTTCATTTACCATATCCAAAATACATCAGTAATACTACATATATAGAAGTATATTTTTACTTCAGGAGATTAAGCTTCATAAATTGTACCTCCTCTGATTTACATAAATGTCAAGCTTTGAAAGAGAACGGGAGCTTAACCAGAAGTTCTCTCTCCCATCAGCATCAGATGGGCTCTTTCTATGTAAACATTTACTTTGGATTTTTTCAAACTTTGAAGCTGTAGCTATGCAAGCTCAGTTTCATTCTGATCATGGGTTCCTGTCTTTGAAACATACTTTTCAGAACTTACTCACTTAGAAATTTGTTAACATATCACCTTGCAAACATAAGTGAGAAAATTGTCAAAGTTTAAAAGATTGAGTTATACTGTAGGAAAAGAGAACACTACACACATTCAGAAAATAAAAAGACTGAACTATTAGTTTTCATTCTACGTTAACATTTCTTTGGAGTCATTTATACTACTAAATCAATATCTGGAAACCTGTAATATCTTTTCAACATAGTTTAAAGTAAATAAACTATTAAATCTCTAAAGGGCCAGGCGCGGTAGCTCACGCCTGTAACCCCAGCACTTTGGGAGGCCGAGGCAGGTGGATCATGAGGTCAGGAGTTCGAGACCATCCTTGTCAACATGGTGAACCACCATCTCTACTAGAAATACAAACAATCAGCCGGGCATGGTGATGTGCACCTGTAGTCCCAGCTACTCGGGAGGATGAGGCAGGAAAATCGCTTGAACCCAGGAGGTGGAGGTTGCAGTGAGCCAAAATCGTGCCACTGCATTCCAGCCTGGGTGCCACAGTGAGACTCCATCTCAAAAAAAATTTTTTTTTTTAATTTTAAAAATAAAATAAAAATAAAAATAAATCTCTATGGTTTTACTGTCCTGGTAATCTCTATATCATCTTTATCTTGTTTGACATTTAAGACCCCTTCCAAAACTAGTAGAGTTTCATTTGTGAAGTAACTTTTCTAATTAACATAAATGATTTTATGTATTTAAATTTCAGCAAAATATCTTCAAATCTAGATATCTTCTAAATGTCTTCAAATCTGTCTATGTTAAACATAAAATTATTTTCATATTCACCACCACATCTTTTCTGCATTTCTCCATCTCTATGTTTTGATGCATTATTATTATTTTCTTCGTTTATTTTTTCTTAACTTCATAATCCGTGCTCATTTCCAAGCTGGCTTCCAGTGAACCAGCCCCTCCTCTCACTCGCAAAGCCTCACCTGGCTCAGATAAAGGAGCTCTCCAGAGAACTGGCCAGGGCTGGTTGTCCCTGACAGCCTCATGTCCACCAGCAAACCCTTTGGCCCCAACACCACCTCCTTTCCTGGACAACTTCTTGGGTGAATTGGAGAAGCTTGGTGCTTTAACCTTGTCTGCTGACCAAGCCAAACCAACCATCCTAGAGGACGCCATTCTGGAAATTAAGGAGGAACCTACTGTCCTCCTCCCACTGCTCCCAGCGACTGCACCTGCCGAATCACCTTCCACTCACGCGGGTGCGGCCTCGGCTGCAGCCCAGCCTTACCATGCAGAGCCTCTTCAGGATCCCAGAATGACAACTCAAAGCAAGTTTGCAGAGTTGAGAAAAATGAGAAGGGGCTTCTCAGACCCTAAAAAGGCGCCAGAAGTCCTAGGGGATAAGTTTGTGGCCTCTGCGTGCACCAGCGTGGGTTCCTTGCCTGTACCCCTTCCCGTCATTGGAGAGGAAGATGAGGGCATCTATGAGGGGATTGTGTCAGGCATTCAGAG